ATAGTGACAAAAGAGACTGGATACTATTGTCAGGGATGGATGGGGCAAACAGAAAGGCACAGAGACCCAACTCAAAAAGAAGGCTTTGCATTTCACACTCTAATTTTAAACTAGTCTGCTGAAATTTTGTCTGATTTGTCACCATTAATTTACAAGGTTTTCAGATGCTGGGAAAGGTTGGGACATTTGCTAAAGTGACATTGCTGGTGATTCCTATCCTAACACTTTTCCCCATTTCTGAGCTTCTAGTTTTCACTGGAACAGGCAGGACTCAAACTCTTTAGATAGGCTGAAGCTTATGTTCAGCTCTAGTACTCTGGTCTAGCTCAGATGGTTAGCTTGGCTACATGTGCTCTATGCTCTTCAACATGAGAAAATCATGTTGTGGATTTTATACAGGTTGAGCCTCTCTTATCCGAAATCCAGAGTATTCCAGCATCATCCACATGGGTGGCTGAGATAGTTTCACCTTTGCTTTATGATGGTTCAGTGTACACAAACTGTTTTATACACACAATTTTTACAAATATTGTATATAAAATTACCTTCAGGCTATGTGTATAACATGTGTACAAAACATAAATGAATTTTGTTTTTAGACTTGGGTCCCATATCTCATTATGTATATGCAAATATCTCACAGTGTGAAAGACTCCCCAAATCCAAAACATTTCTGGGCCCAAGCATTTCAGATAAAGGAAACTCAACCTGTACTTCATTTATGCAGAGGTTGGGAAAGTTTTTTAAAAAATCTACAAATCCCATATTCTCCCAATTATGAATTTTTTTTGTGTGTGTGTGTAGACTAGTGTCCCAGGTATCTCATTGTGTATATACAGATATCCCCCAATCTGAAAAACTCTGAAATTCAAAACACTTCTAGTCCCGAGCATTTCAGATACTCAACTTGTACTTCAGTTAAGTAGAGCCTCAGAAAGTTTTTTAAACCATAAATCCCATATTCTCCCACTTAGCATGGCAAGGCTTGCTATGGGATTCTAGCTTGTTGTAGTCTCAAAAAGTTAACTTTTCCTATCCTTGCATACATCTTCATAGTACAGTACTGTTCAATTGATAGGGTGATGAGATATGTGTCAAAATGCCAATTTTGCTCTCTGCCACTGAAAGAATTCTTGTAAAGAAGAAGCATCAATGTGCATATCAGGCCTGAGAACAATTACACAATGAAAATCTCAGACTTGCCAGGCTGACCCAAGATTGCAACCTGAGCTAAAATATCCCGCAAAACTCTCAAATTCCTTTGAATTGCATATGGCCGGATTTCAGTCTATTCTATTTGAATGAGGCATATTTTAATCATGTAGACTAGCCCAGGCTGGATGGAGCTTGCAGTTTCTTTTCTTTTCTCTTTTCTTTTCTTTTCTTTTCTTTTCTTTTCTTTTCTTTGTCGTCCCACAGGACACCATCCAAACTCCCAGATACATGTCCTTGATTTTTGGTCAGTCTGGCAGAGAGGGGAAAAAATAACCTGCAGATAGCCCCAAATCCTGCAAAACTGTTCAGTAATATGACGATTTGATTAAAATTGCACCCCAAACCCAAATGGCCAATTTTCATCTGAAAGCAAGATTGAAAATGATGTCATATCACTTTTGGGTTGTCCAAAAAACACTAGTGGGGCTCTGCTTGTGGGGAGGGAGGCATAAATTGCCCTCTTTCCCCATTGAAGCTGGCCATCACAGCTAGCCTTAGCACAGTCTTGCAGGTTTACTGTCAAGTATATACTCCCCAACCAAACAACATGCCAGGGGCTTTTCTGCTAAGAAGTTTAGATTCTTTTTTTAATATATATATATATATATATATATATATATATATATTATATGTTTATTTCATTTTTGCAATAAAAACAAACAAACAAACATCTAAAAACAAAGTGGACAAATTGATATTTGCTATGTCCTTTCTAACAAATCACATTCTAAGAAGTTTAGATTCTGAGCCCTCAACCTTACCTAGTACAGACCCTCCGGCTATCCCTATTTTTCAGAGACAGTCCCAATTAATCCTCTGCCATCCCACTTTTTCAGCCATTTTTAAAATATCCAAGTTTTTGCTTTCCACATTTCCCCTTTGCTCTCATCTTTCATTTGCTGCAAACTGAGTTCAACGTACAAAAGTAGTTTGCACCCAGTTAATTCAGCAACAAGGAGAGGAGTGAGTTGGAATTTTGTCCTTCCCATTAGGCTTAGGCAAAAGCAAGCTGCTGCAGTCTCGCTTAGCTTGTGTGTTCTTCCTCATTAATAACTTTTTCCCTCTTGACCACACTGTGGTGTTGCAATGTTCTGTTTTTTATCTGTGACGTGTTGGAGGGTATGTTCTCCAACTATTGCAATACTCGTGTCCACTCAAAAATCTTTACTGTGTGTATCTGCAAGGGAGAGGATTGGGTGTGTGTGTGTGCACGCAATCTTGTCCTGTGTTAATTTGCAAGCAGGAGGAAACTCTTGGCTCGGTCTTTGGCCCTTTTCCAGGCCTTGACTAAGAGAGAAGCTTGGGGTCAAGCCTCTAACTGCCAGTCTCAAGGCCAGGATTTGCAGCTTTCAGCACTTTCCTCCTTCCCCTGGCAGTTGTGAGAAGCACCCGCTGCTGCCATGACAGTAAATAACAATAAAACTGAATTGCAGCTCAAATGAATTTATAGCAAGACCCTTTCCGGTAGCCTTCAAACTTCCTGGTCTTTTGAAGATTGCCGGAGTCTCTCTTTCATCTCTTGAAGCACCGACAGACAACCAACCAACTGACCAACATTGAACTGGGGAGTGGCTGGAAAGCCCACACCTGGGAAGATAGAGCCGTTCCCTGCAGCCCAAGCAAGCGTAGCCAGCGGTGAGGAGTGCTGGGAGTTGCAGTCCATCTGGAGGGTCACAAAATCCACCCTTGTCGTGCAGCATTGTTGATGCTACTTGCCATCAAGTTGGCTTCAACTTGTGGCAGCCCTATGAATGAGAGGCCTCCAAAAGATTTGTTAGTAGAAGCACTTCTGAGTTCTTGCAAACACAGGGCTTCGATTGTTTTCATAGAATCACAGAATCATAGAGTTGGAAGAGATCACAAAAGCCATCCAGGCCAACTCCCTGCCATACAGGAAATCACAATCAAAGCATGGTTTTCCTCTTTTTCTATTGCCTTCCACTTTACGAAGCATTATCTTTTCGTCATCTCATGATATGCCCAAAGTACAATAAGTAAGTCATGTCATCTCATGATATGCCCAAAGTACAATAGCCTCAGTTTTGGCATTTTGGCTTCTAGGGAGAGTTCAGACTTAGGGGATATACAGACGGCCCCTGGGAGTGCTGGTTCGGGACCGCGGCAGCCGCATGCTGCAGCCCCGATCTGACACTTTGCCATTCCAAAAAGAGCTGGCAAATGCCGCTCTTTTTTTTTTGGAGCAGCAAAAAGTCACCCTTACTGTCTCAGCTCTTCTGTGCCCCTTTGGCGCAATGTATCTAAACGCTGCGCCAAGGGAGCACGTTGACGCTGTGAGCCATACGGTGGGGCACATGGTGTAACGGCGGCATCAGGGCAGAGTCGGGGTGGCCAGCGTACGGTCACCTTTTGGCCTTTAATTTGCTCTTGGGCAAATTTGTCTTTTTGGCATTGGTATCATGTTATCCCCAGAAGAGTTCATGGACTGTCAAAAAGGGAGAGCAGATCAAGTCTGAACTATCCCTAGAAGCCAAGGTCTTCTTCCTATTAACTTCCTTCCTTGTCCTGCCTTCACAATCATGTGTAGCAATGGTTAATAGGATGATTCTGACTTCGGTATTCAATTATATGTCTCCGTACTTGCATTATGCAGCACAGGGTATGGGGTTGTTGTTTTTTAGCAGCCTACTCTCAGCATTTTATTTTAAATCACAGCTCTCTTCCTGTGATTTGCCTTGCTTCTTAGGTGAGATTGGGAAGTCCATAGAAGCAGTTTTGTTACAGGGAAGAGGAGACAGAAAGCAGTGCGTACAAAGGGGGGGGGGATAAAACCACCAACTTTGGGTCATTTTCTGTTTTGAAAAAAAAAAAAAGACCCCTCTTTTCTGGGGGGCCTAAAATGGTGAAAATAACCCCCAGAGTCCCTACAGGGCATTGGGGGACATTTAAGGACTTTTTATTGTTGTGTGCCTTCTAGTTGTTTTAAGCTTACGGCGACCCTAAGGTCATGGGATTTTCTTGGCAGGATTTGTCCAAAGGAAGTTTACCAATGCCTTCCCCTGAAGCTGAGAGCATGTGACTTGCCCAAGGTCACCCAGTGAGTTTCCATGGATTCGAACCCTGGTCTCCAGAGTTGTAATCCAATGCTCAAACCACTATGCCACCACGCTGGCTCTTATTTGCCCCCCCCCCCAATATATCCTAGGGAGTAACAAAAGATAACCCTATCTATTCAACTTGTATGCAGAACATATTATACAAAAAACAGGCTTGAACACAGAAGAAGGAGGAGTGAAAATAGGAGGAAGGAACATCAGCAATCTAAGTGACACCATACTATTAGCAGAAAACATTGCAGACCTAGAGCAACTACTGAGGAAGGTCAAGGAAAAAAGTGCAAAGACAGGCTTACTGTTGAACATAAAAGAAAACAAAAATAATGGCCTTAATGTGTTCAGTCTAGACAATGATGACATAGAAACAGTAAAAGAGTTCCTGTACTTTGGATCAAACATATATCAAAATGAGGACTGCAGTAAAAAAATCAGAAGAAGACTAAGAATGGCGAGAGCAGCTATGAAAGAACTAGAAAAGGTCCTAAAGAGCAAGATATACAATGAAACACGAAAGTCAGAATCATACAAGCAATTGTTTTCCCCATTACCATGTATGGATGCAAGAGCTGGACAATTAAAAAAATGGACAAAAAGAAAATAAATTCATTTGAGATGTGGTGCTGGAGAAGAGTGCTGAGGATCCCATGGGAAGAAAAAGGTGGGTCCTAGAATAGATCAAGTCTGTAATTTTGCTGGAGGAAAAGATGACTAAACTGAGGCTGTCATACTTTGGTCACATCATGAGAAGATACATCTCATTAGAAAAGACAATAATCCTAGGAAAAGTGGAGAGAATTAGAAAGAGAGGAAGACCACATGTTGGATGGACTCAATTAAGGAGGTCATGGGAAGAGCAATGGAGGATAGGGGGTCTTGGAAATGTCTCATCCATAGGGTCGCCATGAGTCGAGATGGACTTGAGAGTTGTTAACAACAACAACAACAACAACAAGAAAACAGCCCCCTAGCCTCCCATAATTGCCCACCTTTGCTCTAGTGAATATGTCCCCATGTCAAGCATGGAGCACAATTTAAAATTATTTATTATTTACTTTTAGACCCTGCCTTTCCTTCAGTGAACTCAAGTGATTGTACATGGCTCTTGTCCTCCTTATTCTGTCCTCACAACAAGCCTGTGAGGTAGGTCAGGCTGAGAGAAACACTGGTCTCAATTGAGTTTCATGGCTAGGCAGGGAATTCATCCTGGATATCTCAAGTTCCATTCCAGCACTCTTAATAACTGCATTACACCGGCCCTAGCATGTACAACAGCACTGCTATTCAAAAGTGGTCTATAAATCCTGATCCATTGACTATTAAAGTGGTCTATAAATCCTGATCCATTGACTGGTAGTCCCAGAAAGTTTCCAGGAGAGAAAGGAACCAATGTAGTCAATGGGCACAAATATAGTGCCAGTTGTTGGCAAACTGGGGAAAAATAATTTCAGCCCACCACATCAAATAGCCTAAGAATCACTGTACCACAGTGCATAGATACCTGTGTGTCTTGGTCTACTTTCTTTCTAGATGATGATGAAAATTTATATAGCACCACCACTGTACATCATGCTTTCCAAAGTAAGTCGACAACAACAAATAACAGTCAGGTCTGCCAAATGCATGCAGTCTAAAATTCACACACACACACAGAAAGGAAGGAAGGAAGGAAGAACAAATATAAAACTAATTCAGTTCATTTTTGAAACTAATTATCCAGCTAAAAACAAAAAATGCAGTATAATAAAAAGCAAACTGAGGAATGTATAAAAGTAAAATATGCAAGATACTGAAAGTGAAGCCTAGATTTTGTAGAGCACAGATCCAGAGCAGGCTAGTAAAGATAATAATAATGAATGAATGAAGGTTGAAAGACATTGAGGAGCTAGGTTGGGTAGGAGGGCATAGATACTCTAATGGTACCAGATTTCATCTGATCTTGGAAGTTAAGCAGGGTCCGCTCTGGTTAGTACTTGGATGTGGGACTGCCAATAGATACCAGGTGCTGTAGGCTATGTTTTAGAGAAAGAAAGTGGCAAAAACATCTCTGAATTTTTCTTGCCGAAGAAAACATTGCAGAGCCAGCATGGCATAATGGTTGAGTGTTGGACTATGACTCTGGAGGCCAGGATTCAATTCCCGGCACAGCAATGAAACCCACTAGGTGACCTTGGGCAAGTCACACTCTCTCAGCTTCAGGGGAAGGCAATGGCAAACCTCCTCTGAACAGATCTGGCCAAGAAACCCCCATGATACTTGCCTTAGGGTTGCTATAAGTTGGAAATGGCTTCAAGGCAACAAAAGAAATTTGTGAGGTCACCATAAGTCGACAGGTGGCTTGAAGGCACAAGCACATGCCATGTGCTTTATAAGTTAAAACCAGAAGCTTTTACTGCATTTGGGAACAAGCTAGACTACGCAGCATAGTCAAAGACACAGTCACCCTGCTCCTGCTTACTGTCTCCCATTGTCCGAACTTTTCATGAAGTGCATGGCCTGTTTGCATTTCGTGGAAACCTATGCATGCAGCACCTTTGTTTGAACAATGTAGAAGGAGCCTTGTTTGCCTTTATTCCACATGAACACAGCATGAGACAGAACTCTTAAGCCTGATGTGTATTTTCAGAGTCCTTTCCTGGCTTCTGAAATCATTGCCATCTCATTACCTCCGCGATAAGGCATAAATGTTGATGTTTCCATAGTGTGTGGGCTTTCTTTTTTTTTCCTTGATGCCATCTAAATGTTAAATAAATCATATGGGTGCCAAAGAAGATAATGTGTTCAATGTGCGCAGTTGGTGTTTTGTGCTTCCTGGCTCCAGCAGTCAATGGGGCTTTTATCGCAATCAAAAGCCAAAGTGGTTTTTCAGAAACGGGTTTTCTCCACACAAGGACTCTCTTTATTGGGTTCATTTGTGTGAACCTTTTCAGCCACAGGGTACTTGCAGCATTATCCAAAGTGATTCACCAAGCACAGACCCTGCCATAGCAATATCTCAAAATGCCTGTCAGCTGTCATGCACTTACAGCCAAAAGGGTTTACTTAGAAAGTGTGTAAAAGTCTGCTCCTCCAAGGGATTCTTCATCTGTCTCAGTACATGAGCCACTTGACCTGGGCATACCTACAGATTGAAGAAAGACAGACCTAGAGCAGTGGTTCCCAAACTTTGGACCTCCAGATGTTTTGGAATTATTATTATTATTATTATTATTATTATTTGGAGTATTTATACCCCGCTTTCAGCCACAAAGGCTCTCAGAGCATCTTACAAGTGGTTAATTACACAGTTCTCTGCCCTCAGGCTTACAATCTCAAAAGACATGACACAAAAGGAGAAGGGAATGGTAGTGGGAAGGGGATCAGGTCCAGCAGTTCTTCCCTCCCTCTGAGGCCTGAACCATGGCAGATGGAGGGCTCTCGTGCTCACCGCCGCCACCGTTGCCTCCGCACATGTCACGGCCGCCATTTTGGAAAACAAAATGGTGGCCGCAACTCATTTGTGGAAACAAGTACTGCGCATGCGCAAATGAGTCGCGACCGCCAAAACGCGCAGCGGAGGTGGCAGGCGGCGGGGGCTGTGGCAGGGCCGGTAAGCGGCGGTCCAAGGGCCGGAACCGGCCCGCGGGCCATAGGTTGCCAACCCCTGGTCTAGAGCATCAATCCATGTACAGGATGACCGGCTGTCCTAACTGCAAAGGAGGACAAGGCACCACAAAATGGAAGAAATTCAAGAAAAATGGAGTACATTACCAAATACAGTCGGCCCTCTAAATCCACAGATTTTTTTATCCATGGATTCAAGCATCCATGGCTTCAAAATATTTTTAAAATATATAAATTCCCAAAAGCAAACCTTGATTTTGCTATTTTATGTAAGGGACATTATTTTACGATCCATTATATATAATGGGATTTGAGCATCCATGGATTTTGGCATTCACGGGAGTCCTGGAATCAAACCTCTGTGGATACCAAGGACCCACTGTAAAAGCTAAAAACACTAATATAAATTCATTTCATCTGGTTTATTTGCAGCTCTATTACATATGCTATATTTTATTATGTACTCAACTGTATTTTTCTTATCTTGGTTAAAATGCCTCGTTGGCTTACAAGATACTTCTAGAAGTCCAAGCAAGACAAATGCTTAAAATTGTACTTTGTTCGCAACCAACCCTTGACTGAATCTATTTTTAAATTATTCCTTTCATTTTGTCCATTGTGCTGAAATTAAAGGGGAAAACCCTTTCAGTATTCAGCATTGTGTCCTCAAGCATCCCATTGCCTAACAGGTTTGCTATCCCTTTCCCCTCCGAGAAAGAAACACACTCAGAGCTCTGGGTGTGAGTCTTGCCTCCTGCTGCTGCTAGGAAAAAAGAACTTTAGAAGGATGCATCTTATCCCCCTATTTGCGGCAAGGACAGGTTGCCAAGTAGACGAATTTCTGAAAGGGGAACAGCAAATGCACTGTTACTCAATGGGCTTCTTAGTGGTGCTCACAATGGAGGACATTTTGGAATTCATCTTGGACAGAAGGCTGAAATGTAGGACATGTCCTGGAAAAGGAGGATGTCTGGTCACTCTGCTTATGCAAGAAGACAGCAGGGAGACTCCCCTCAGTAAATTCTGCAGTGTCTTTAGATTGAAGTAGGTACTCCAGGCATCCTGGATGCAGAGATGGACCACAATTATTCTCCTTTCCTTGGGTAATTTGAAGGAAACAGTGAAACATTTGACTCACGCAGAGCCCTCCTCCTTGTGCTGGCACTTTAACACTTGCAAGAGCTTTTCTTTACTTAATTTTTAAACAGTCTCTGCACTCTGCCCACAGTTCTCTTGTGATCCATTAGTGTGTCCTGGCACACAACTTGGAAATTATTATGCTAAATGCTCTCAGTGCTTTATTTCGTTGACAGGTAATGCATGCAATGTATAAAATGGGATTAGTTCATGCAAATGTGACTTTTTTGAATGCAGAAATAAAATATTCTTAATGAGGCATGTGCCTGATATTAGGGGTGGCAGACAGCTGCATTTTATAATAATGCAGTGTTGC